GAAAAGAAAGGAAAGGAAAGGAAAGAAAGGAAAGGAAGGAAAGGAAAAGAAAAGAAAAGAAAAGAAAAGAAAGGAAAGGAAAGGAAAGGAAAGGAAAGGAAAAGAAAGGAAAGGAAAGGAAAAGAAAAGAAAAGAAAGGAAAAGAAAGGAAAGAAAGGAAAGGAAAGGAAAGGAAAAGAAAAGAAAAGAAAGGAAAGGAAAGGAAAAGAAAAGAAAAGAAAGGAAAGGAAAGGAAAGGAAAGGAAGGAAAGGAAAAGAAATGAAAGGAAAGGAAAAGAAATATAATGAAAGGAAAGGAAAAGAAAAGAAAAGGAAAAGAAAAGAAAAGAATAGAAAAGACCCCCCCTTCCAGTTTAATTTAGAGAGGTTTCCCAGCGAGCGTCACTTTCCTTACTTTCGCTTTCGTTTTCACCCCGGCGCATCAGCTTCTGTCTCAAGGTGACGCGCAACTGTAAAACACGCGTTTTTTCCCCCGTGTGTGAAAAATAAAAAGTCAGCCTAGGTTTAAGAAGCAGCCGCAAAGCCCTGAGCGGATCGTGCACCCATCCAGCGCCAGCTACGCAAGAAAGTTGGCTGGAGGTGAACTGCGATCCAAAGCTCCGTCTATCTGCCCCAGGCGGGGGCTTACCGGTTGCGCGCGTGTATGCGCGCGTGAGTGTGACACGAAGGGAAAATTTCCGCCTAGACGGTCTGGAAGAAAGGCAGGATAGGAATCACCCACCAGCCAAGAAAAAAAAAAAAACACGCATCCCAGGGAACAAATACTCGGGTCTGCCGGGGCTTTAGAGCTGCACCCTTTAAAGCTGCAACGGGCGGAAAGGGACCGCTTCACACGTTCCTAACCAAGGGGATCTTGCGTGTAGATCTTGCGCGGGGATGTAAGATCTCATCTGGGGACATGTGAAGAGATTCCCCTCCTCCGGGACTTTTCCACGCGTTCCCAGCCAAGGGGATCCTGCACGGGGCTGCAAGATCTCCGTGCGAAATGGTCCCGGTGGAGGGAGAACCACGCGTTCCTAGGGGATCTTGCGTGTAGATCTTGTGCGCGGATGCTTGGAACGTGTGAAGTGGGGGTTTTTCCTCCACAGGGACCGATTCCCACGTTCCTAGCTAAGGGGATCTTGCGTGTAGATCTCGCGGGGGGGGGCTGCAAGATCTCCTCGGCTTGGAACGTGTGAATTGGTTCCCCCTCCACCGGGACCAATTCACACGTTCCTAACCAAGGTGATCTTGCGTGTAGTTCTTGCGCGGGGATGCAAGATCTCGACTGGAAACGTGTGAAGAGAACCCCCTGCGCGGGGCTGCAAAATCTCCCCGGCTGGGAACGTGGGAATCGGTTCTCCCTCCACCGGGACTGATTCCCACGTTGCTAGCTAAAGGGATCTTACGTGTAGATCTTGCGCGGGGCTGGGAACGTGGGAATGGGTTCCCCCTCCGCTTCTGCTGTGGCTTGAAGGGCCGGAGGAGGGGTCCCATCCCCTCCCATCCCCTTTCCGCGGAGCCCCCGAAGGGGGAGAAGAGAGAGGGGGAAGGCGGCGGCGGGCCCAGGCGCGTCCCCGCGGCAGAGCCGGGAGCGCGCGTAGCATCGGCGGCGGCGGCTGCAACCCGAGGGCGGCTGGAGCTCCGGGCGAGCCGGCTGGGGAGGCGCCGGAGCCGAGGGCGGAGCTGGCCGGAGGGTCGCCGCCCGCCTCCCCGCCCCGAACTCCGCCGCCTTCGGCGCAAGCAGCCGCCCCGCCGCCGCAGCTCCGGCCAGTCCGGCTCCCCTCCGCCGCCGCCGCCTCGCTGGGAGCGAGCGAGGGTCTCTCTCCGGGGAAGGGGGCGCTGGAGCCAGAGCCCGGCTTGCGGTGTCCGGCTTGCGGGGCCGCTTCCTCGCTCGGCTCGGCGGGTTTTGTCCTGGCAAAGCGGTAAGGAGAAACTTCGGAGGTCGCCCTCCCTCCCCTCCCCTCCCCTCCCTCCTTCCTTTCCTCCCTCCCCTCGCCTTCTCTCTTCCTTCCTTTCCTTTCCTTTCCTCCACTCCCCGTTCTCTTTCCTTTCTCCCTTCCTTCCTGCCTCCCTCCCTCCCTTTCTTCCTCCCTTCTCCCTCCCTCCCTTCCCTTCCCTTCCTTTCCTCCATCCCCCCTTC